AGGGGAAAATGTATGATATTTATTTTTTGCTCGGAAAAACAAAAACAAAATTGCAATTAAATTAAACAGAAAACTTTTAAAATTTTTTGGGGAAAAGCAACAACAATTTAAAGCAGTATTACTTTTTATGCTTAAAGCCTTTTTGGTCTTTGACTCGCATACAATGTAGTTATTATAGTAATAACTAGGTGCTAACCCTTAACCTAACCTTAACCCATGTGGTTATCTTATCTTACCCAGTATTTTCGTGGATCATCTCAGATTCTGTATTCCTGATGATGCATCATAAATTTGCTGTCTATTTAGTTCAAACACCATTCCCACCTTTCAGTGTGAATAAACCTGCAATCATTTATCAGTACTTCTAGCTGCTAGATGTTCAGACGGAGACCTCTTGGTTGAGTGACTGAAAGCTCTTTGCTGGATTGCAGAGCCGTTGTGTTTGTGGTGGACAGCAGCATCTTCCAGAAGGACGTCAGAGATGTGGCTGAGTTCCTCTACTCCATCCTCACAGACAACATAGTGGCAAAAAATGCCCCCACACTTGTGGTAGCCTGCAACAAGCAAGGTTATTGTTGAATTTAACATTCTCAATTACAATCCATGGTGCTCTTGATGTGAGAATTGGCCTATGCCTCAAAGAGAAAATGCAGAACATCATTTGCTCTGAATTTGAGTCGTAAAGATTTAGTGGGAACGCAAGTGCAGTGCAGTTTTTTTTTCTTCACCAGACTGAACACTGTGCACCGCTAATGATTGTTTTATAAAAATGTTATTTTATCTAAGTATTTGTAAAAAATATGTGAATAGAGGGATTTCATGTGTATGGAGTACATGTTTGTTTTCTTTCTTTTACTGTAGATATCACTATGGCAAAATCAGCTAAATTAATTCAGCAGCAGTTGGAGAAGGAGATGTGAGTATTCACTCATTTCCGTCTCAGGGTTAAAGTGCCCTTATTATGCTCATTTACAAGTTCATAATATTATTTTGGGGGTCTGCTAGAATGCATTTACATGAGTAACAGTATTTTTTTAATACTGTACATTGCACCAATCAAAGCAGACTGGGCTTTTCAGAAGTACAGGCTTTAAAGAGACGGGAGCTAAACAGAGCATTTCAGAAACGCTCCTGTCTCTTTAAAGCTTGTACTTCTGAAAAGCCTGCTTGGGGATTCAGCTATAGACAGTATCACATCTGTGGTAACTATGAAATTGTTTTTTTTATGCCCTCGAAATCGCTTGCCCAACTGTTCTTTAAGGGAGTGCATTATGCAAATGTATAACGCTAAGTCATGAAATAATGGCAGGACTAGAAACGAGACGTTTCAGGTGTTTTCTGTTGCAGAGATGAACTACCATTGCTGTGGGCTTTGCAAATGTGCAGGTGGTTTACATGCAAGGTGCTTCTCTGTGAAACATCTAGTAGCATTGGTGTCATCAGTGTTGGGGGTAACGCATTACAAGTAACGGCAGTTACATAATCCGATTACTTTGTTACATGAATCTCACTTGCAAAAAAAAAAAACTATTCCGTCTTCCTCAAAATGAATAAAAGCCATGAAATGCAACTCAGAATATTTAATCCCATTCTATTAACCGGTGTCTTTGCTGCTGACCTTTGATGACCCAATTCAACCATACTAATAAACAAAAATGACTCTAGATAAACATTTGTGCTGCTTTAGTTTTTTTTATTGCTGAAGTGTGCTGAACTTTCTTCTGCGTTCTACTGTACAGACGTTAATTTACTTTTCCTTCAGCCTGAGGATTATTCATTTCACTTTTGGGCTTTTACGTTTGCCAAAAATATAACTTTTTTATTTTAAACACAAACAAGCAAGCCCTGCCCAGATTTAAAAAGTAACTCAAAATTAATGTAGCGCACTTTCCATAAAAAGTAACTAAGTAACATAATTAGTTACTTTTTTAGGGAGTAATGCAGTATTGTAATGCATTACATTTAAAAGTAACTTTCCGCAACACTGGGTGCTGCATGTTTTGCGGTTACTTGTAACAGATTGATTGTAGGTTTGTGTCTTCTCCACAGGAATACTCTGAGATTGACGCGTTCTGCGGCCCTCTCCTCTCAGGACGGGGCTGTCGGGGGCTCTGTGTATCTGGGTAAGAAAGGCAAAGATTTCGAGTTTTCTCAGCTGCCCAATCGGGTGGAGTTCATTGAGTGCAGCGCACGTGGAAGCAAAGAAGATGGAGCTGCTGATATTGACGCTCTAGAGAAGTGCCTGGCTAAGCTCTGAAGAGCTCGACAGCTAGAATTAAGCTCATTCATAAACTTGTAATTTAGAGCAGTTTTTGTGATCTCTGGATTTTTGTTTCTTCAGTATTGTTGTACCAATCCAAGAGTATACAGCATGTCCTACAGATACAGCACATTGTGTGTTCAACCAGAATCAATGTATATTGTATGAATGAAAACATTAACACTTCTATTTGCCTTCGTGTTTTCACTTTTCACTTCAGGGATCTTTTTGAATTAAAACTGGAGCCAACATTTTACTTCTGTTCAACGGTGTTGTATTTTGTTTTGCTAGAGGCAAGTGTGAGTGTAAATTATATTAGAGATGGCTTATGACTGCTTGTTTTCATGGTGCCTTTCCAAAGTTTTGTGGCTAAAAAGTTCAAATGTTTAAGCTGTACTTTGTACTGTATTTTACTGGAGCGTTCCAGGTTCAAAACAAGCTGAGCTCTGTGTGGCATGAGACTGGTTTAAAGTCATTTGATAAGTAAAACAACTCAATGTCTGTAAAGGGCATACGATATGGAGGTAATAAAACTCAAAGCAATAATGTCAGCACTGACAGATGGTGAAATGGCATTTTAGACTACTAGGACAAGTCCAGGTTCCTGAGTATATTCCTTAAATGAGGTTAAGCATCTTCCTAGGAGACTAGTTTACTCAGAGTAGATGGATAACCACAATGTTTGGTTCCAATAACTAAGGTACTTTCAGGTTAAGTAGCCATTACAAATTATTCTCTGAACCAGGGTCAGAGGTATTTTCTGTATGCATACCCTACTGATGAACAGTACAGATGACACACAATAATATATAGTTATATAGGGCCTGGTTTATAAAATCTACCATCCTACATTTGATCTAAAGTCATTCTCAAATGTGCATATGTGATTCAGAGAAATAAATATACAAGCACACCTTCACAAATGATCTTGAAATTGTGCACAGCCAAATGGTTTCAGATCTCTGCCTTGAATAGCAAGAACTGCTTAGATTTCCAAACACCTGCAGTATACTCCCGAAAGAAAAGTGTGCACATCTGCTCAGAACCTGATGTGGTGCTAAGCACTTTTCCATTACAAAGACAGCTTTTACAAATATAAACTCTGGCTTGGATTTTAGCATATGCACACTTAAGATCAAATCTGTGCGTATGCATGATTTATAAATGAGGTCCATATTTCTTAATTATAAAGCATTATTATAACACAAAGTTACCTCACAAACCATAAAACCGAAATGTTCTCTTTTTTTATTGCTTATGAAAATGTACCATTGTTCTACAGTATCCATACTTCCGGATCATCTGGGCATAATGCATCTGCCATGTTATCATTGTCAGGTGACCTAAAACTGAGTCTTAATCAATTGTGCTTTCCCGCCATTTACAAATTCTCTCCCATGGCCTCATGGGATAGTACAGTATCTCTTGGATGCACCTGACAGAAACTCTGCAAAAGTAGTTTTACAAACAGGTTGACATGCCTACTCATCTTCACTGTTCAGTTCACCTCAAGCTAAATTTGGTCAAACAAGCAGGAAAAAAAACTGAAATGCATTTGATCACCCTGAAAATCGCCAGAGGTGGAGAGTAACAAAGTGCTTTTACTTGAGTATCGTACTTAAGTACACTTTTTGCGTATCTGTACTTGAGTATTATTTTTTCCTGGAAACTTTTGACTAACTTCACTAC